ACTTGAACCCAATGCAAAACCTTTGTTGGATAACCTTTCACACTCGAGCAAAACCCACAACTGCATAGATTTTTACTGAAATGACTGTGTTTGGACAACGTAAATGGGGGTTGAATGGACACTGTGTAAAACTCACAGCCAAACAACTGTTTATCAAAATAAAATATATACAAACACTGGTAAAGCTAGTTGGTTGGATTTAGCTGGTCTTTCAGCCTGGTTATAGCAGCCCTACCAGCTAAAACCAGCTGAAAACCAGCTTGGATGTAAATATTGGGTCAAATGACTACTTTTTGGTGAATCTTTTCAGTTTTGGATGAATTATGAACCTTTTTTGCCATTCTGGGTCTATTTTACCACTCGGCTTGTCACAAAAACAAGGTATCTTAGAAGCTAAACAAGATTTTTTAGAAGATGGCATAATTAAGATGTCCACCTTTTGGAACAGCCTTTGCGTCAATGCTTCCTTAAGCCCGGGATACACTGCACAATTTTTGCAATCCTATAAGATCATTACTTTATCACACTGTGCGACATGGCTCGTTTAAACTTGGGTATGACAAGCATGTAGACTGTACGATGACGACACCTATTGAATCGTAGGTTGCGACGGCTGCGACACACGTTAGCGCAACGTCATCAGCATGCGCTAGTGGTAAACAAATACCGGTACATCAAGATGGATCTCGCTTTGGCAGTTGTGCTTTTCATGTGCGCTGAAACAAAGAAGAGGCGCCGGCGGAAGAGGGCAATATGGACCCGCTCATGGCTCAGGAAAAGAGGACAACTTGGGATGCCAGTTTTGCACAGGGAGCTTGGCAGCTGCAGTTCCTCCGCTATCTCCTTCCATGCTATGTCCTTTTTGGTGCGGTCATGATAGCAGCTAGAGGACACATCGTACAAACATGCCCTCTGCTGCCACAACTCAACAAGAATTTGTTCTTTATGGGTATCCCACATACCAGTATACCTTCTACTTTTTTTGCCTCCATGGCATTGAAATTTTAGCGCCACTTGTCGTGTGGATCAATATGTAATTTCATGTTGCAATTTCATTAGCTGCTGAGTAGACGCAGGTCGTTGCAGCAAATACACTGTGCGTTGATCATGCTGAATTTCTGACAACTGTCAGAAAACTATCGTAGGCTATCTTTGGTCGCAAGACCGGGAAAACACCCGTCTTTGAACCTCTCTCACTGTACGACATATAGGACCACCGATTAGGAGCCACGATCACAGAAATCGCCACGATTGCTTCACGATGGCAATCTTTCTTCTGGGACAGCCAAAAATCGTGCAGTGTATCCCGGGCTTTAGGCATCTCAGTAGGTTTTGGAACCAAGCTGTTGAAAAAAAATATATATGTTGATACAATATCTGACGTACATCGGCATATGCTTTAATAAAACTTGTGAGTGGTTTGCTTTTAATTACTGCTACTGCAGAAAAGAAGCTTCTTTGATATACAAACATTTGTACTATAGAAGGTTATGTATTGTGAAGCAAATCAATAGATAGTTTTGCTTTTCACAAAATAAAACAACAAGTCTACTTGTCTGCTCTTTGACAGCTCTTACTCTTTGTTGTGAGCATTGCATAGAAACATCTCTTTTTCTTCACAGAGATCTGTATATCAAAAGACAGCAAAGACAGCCACAAGGAAAAAATTAATACAGCATAAACATCCTAGCCATGAGCAAACAGACAAAATGGAAGCCATGATAACACCAAAACATGAGCGTTAAAAGGAAATTAAAATGGGATTTACTGCGGCAAGTTGCTACAAGTTGCAATATCCACTTTTATTGTCACTACTCAGATTTATATATTTCATTCTACGTTTGTTCGTACTTTCTCAATTACTCCTTGTTTGCTCAGCAAAGCTTGAATTTGAAATGAACTGAATAAATTGGGGAGGCAGTAATAAGATGGTGTAGGCTGTGTTTATATGAGGAACAGCTTGAAAAAAGAAATGAAAAAATGGTTTTTATTTCCTTTCCGTTTGCATATCTTGTCTCCTCTTTGCAATTTCCCTGCTTTTTCTTCTAGAAAAACAGAAATTCAGAAAACCACATGGATACATATGAAACTTCAATGCTTAAGAGGTAAAATGGACATCCTGTTTAAAAGGATGGACGTAATCTGTTCTGCACAGGAAAAAAAGATGAGAGATGGATATAGACGGTCCTAAAAGGAGAAAGCAATTTTAGCTTGTCATGCTAATGGTGTAGTGTATTCACAATGAGTGAAGTGCACATTCAGAAGGACTTTTGAGTACTCAAACCTACAACCATGACATATATTAGAGGGTAATCACAAAATCTGTCCATTACGAACGACAATCTACAAAGCAACTGAAGTGAAATGTTTTTAAAATGTAGGATGAACACTGTTCCACTTGACAGCTGTAGTCAAAAACTTCTTAAATGGGCATGTTGACTTAGACGCAACACTTCAAGGTTACAAAATTACGGTCTTCAAAGACGTTTGGAACATGTGGTGCAGTTTAGCGCTGGCAGCATCGGCACGGATGTTTCTCTCAGAAAAGTAACAGCATGCAATCACAAATGTCAATATTCGGCAAATACCAAACCCAAAATCAGCAGCTTTAGATGTCACTGAATGGGTCAAGAAAAATATGAAGAGCATAGATGTGCTCGCCACTGAAATGAAGAAATCAGTAACCAACAACCAGTCTGCAAATCAGACTGATACCTCCAATTGCAGCAAAATTTTGCAGATATTTCGTTGGCAATAATGATCTATTGTCCAAATTTAGGTGAAATTTAGTGGTCAACAATGATCCATTGTCCAAATTTTGACAAAGTGTTATGGGCAAGAATGGTCCCTTGTAATTTTTTCCATTAGTCCATTAGTCCATTCTCCAAACTTTGACAACATTTTTCAAAAATGGTCCACTGTCCAAATTTTGATGATGACATTTTGTGAGAAACAATGGTACATTGTCCAAATTTTGGTGAAATTTTGTGGATAACAATGGTCCAGTGTCCAAATGTTGACAAAAATATGGGCAAAAATAGTCAAATGTACAAAGTTTTACAATAATTTATAGGCAAAAAGGGTCCTTTGTCCACATTTTGGTAAAGTTTCATGGGTAATAATAGTCTATTGTCCAATTTTAGGTGGAATTTTGTTGGCAACAATGGTACATTTTCCAAATTTTGACAAAATGTAATGGGCAAAAATGTTCCGTTTTACAGAATTTTGTAGGCAAAAATGGTCCATCGTCTAAATGTTGGTAAAATTCCATGGGCAAAAAAAAAAAGGTCCACTGTCCAAACTTTGACAATTTTGTGGGCAAAAAAAGCACAGACGAATGTAGTTAGGACATGATGCAGACTGGACTTGAACCTGAAAACCCCATATGTGCAGCAAAGCTCAATGTGTCAGAACATCATGCATTAAAAATGAAAGGACAATTCTGTCATCATTTACCCACCCTCATGTTGTTCCAAACCTGTAAGAGATTATTTCTTCTGTTGAACACAAAGAAGATATTTTGAAGAATGCTGGACATTTTGAAACAGTTGCTGGTAGCCATTAACTTCCATAGTAAGTATCTATCTATCTATCTATCTATCTATCTATCTATCTATCTATCATACAGGTTTGGAACAAGATGAGGGTGATTAAATAATGACAACATTTTCATTTTTGGGTGAACTATCCCTTTAACCACTCTGCTCAAACACATTAGGATCATTTGAAAACATTTAAGATGTATGAATTTCATTCTGTTAGACAGCAGTATGTTTTAATAAATGTTCCACTAACTTGTGACAGCTACAAAGTGTAATTAGGTCTGAATTTTTAACAATACAGCCATTATTCTTTTCATTTTAAACCTAAAAAATTACTTTTGAGAAATGTTTTGCTTGAAAAGGGCTATATTTCTTTAAAATATATTATGGGGGTTTGATATTTTGTTATATAAAGTGAAGACATTCATGCATTTTTAAGCGCGCCTTACGTGTCCAAATACTTTATGAGGCCACTGTATGTCTTCAGGCTTGCTTGTATCTGATCTGCTTTTCCAGCTTGCTGAAACATCAATTGACTTATGCGTCTGATCAACCTCCAGATGGATCTATTTGAAATTCATACACACTCTAAACATACCTCTCCCTGCGTCATTCTGAACTCTCTGTGGTCTGGCATCAGACGACAGATGCAGATGTAAAGTTCCCCTTCTAAAGACTTGTAGAAGAGCTGCCCTGCCTATATAAATGGATGTTTTTGTCGGTATCCCTGTAACTTTCTTTCTCTCACCGTCTCATTGCCCCATCAATCTCTGTGGTAGTATCCACGTCGTTGTGAGTTTTGTTTGATTAGAATCAGTCTGACATTATACAACGGATGACTGTAACACCCACAGTGGAGTTTAGTGTCTGACAGCACTGCAACTGTGCAAATGTGGGTTTGGACAACTTAATTGCATGGAAATTCGTAACTGTTTTACATTTGCCAAATTGGTGGCTAATTCATATGAACTCATAAGATGTCATTCGTGTTTTCATAAAATCTGATTATACCTTGATGGTTAGGTTTAGAGGGTAGACCTTACTTTTTTCTAAAAAAAAGTCCATTATACAAATTCTCATGAAATAGCCACTTGTGCTTTTTCAAGGTTGGTGTGGAACAAAATTTGTAACTATATCTTCTCATAGAGTTTATTGTTGGTTCGTTGTTTCTAACCAATTGGACATTTTCATGTTTTTTTTTTGTTGTTTGTTTGTTTGTTTGTTTTGGCATAACTTATCAGTGTAGCGACTGTCTAAAGGTGTAGTCATATTAGCAAAAAATTTGTAAAATTTTATTGGCAAAAATGTCATAGTGTTAGACCAAGTAAAATATATACAAAATATGCATTTTATTGTATTTTTATAGATATGTCTTTTTAAGCAATGTTTTGATGTGAGTGTGTAGACAAAAACAAAAATTGTGTTGCTTGTTGAAATTCCCAAAACTGTTTTTTTGCATTACTGGACAGAAATAGCAGAATACCTGAAAGCCAGGAGATGGAAGACAAACAGGATTGGCACATGTTGCAGACTGGACTCGAACCTGAAAATCCCACATGTGCACCAAAGCTCAATGTGTCAGATCATCATGGATTAACCACTGCACATTGGAAGCAGCTGAAAACACATAAAAAATGTATGAATGTCTTCCTATAATATATGTTCCACTAACTTTTATACAACTAGAGAGTGTACTTAAAGGGAATGTCCACCCAAAAATGAAATATCAACAGTGAATAAGTTAATTTAGATGTTATCGTTTTTAGGTTAACATTAATTTTGCAGTCGTATTAGCAAAACGTCGACAAAACTTAAAAACTGATAAAGCGATTTGTGAAGTCACTCAAAAAAAATCTGTTTTCTTCCAGCTAATAGGGGACATTCTCTAACTTTGTCTAACATTCCTTCAAGGTTTTCTCAAAGTTATGAACAAGTGTTCTTCTAGTAACATTAATAGAACACTCATTCAAAGTTATCTGATCTTTAGTAACAATCAAAACGTCAGCACAAAAACATAATTTATACATCGTTTATGGAACGTTTTCTGCAGCATTTTTTAAAAGTTACTACTTACAAATATTAGATGGTTTTGAGGAATTCAACACTAACATTCCCATAATGTTTGCACATAATAAAACGAAAAATTCCACTTAATGTTATCTTTAACATACACAAAACCAACTTAACACACAACGAAGAAAAACAAATACTTTAAGTACAAGTTAAAAAATAGCAAAATGTTCTTTAATGTTCTCGCTGACAAAATTTCACCAAGCAATGAAAACACAACTATGGAGTGGCAATTGGTGGCAATGTTTCTGCGATCTACTTAAGCTTATGATGTTTTTTGGGAAATGCAACCCAGATTAGTAAATCATGCAGACAATGTACTTAAAACAAGGTAACAAATGAGTAAATCATGTTCACTATTTACTTAAAACGAGGTGACAAATTAGTCGTGGAAACGAACTGTTAATTTGTGGACACAAATATTTTCCCATAAGTCACGTCTGGGGCTCCATACGCAACATTAAAAGGACATAATTTATTTGAAATAGAAATATTTTGTAACATAACATGTCTTTGCTGTCACTTTTGAATTTAAAGTGTCCTTGCTGAATAAAATCCTTTATTTCTTCAAAAATGCACAGGCCTCAAAACTTGTGAATGGTATTCTACAAATAAAAAAATAATAATTCATGACAGTTGTAAAATATAATACTTTTTACCTTGAAAAAAATCAATTTAAACCTTTTTAATCATTTAATTGGAAGCCATTTAATTTTAAAATTTCTTTGATAAAAAAGTGTATTAAAACCACATAAAACCTACATGAATAAAGCCATTTTTTGTAGAAACTTTTTGCATTTTAATAGCGCAGTCCAGCAGGGCTACACAAGCGACTTTTAATCAACATCTGTGGAAAGTCTTTAGCTCAGCAAGATACAAAGGTATCTCCTCTTGGCGTAATACTTTCTGAACATCTTTCTCATTTTCTTCCTTTTTTGATAGTCACTGCTTTGAGGACACAATGAAATGGCTGTATAACGCCGTGTGCTCGACCGCCCTCAGTCTAATTACAAAAATGATAATGATAACGTCGGTCTACTTCACAGTTTACAACCACATTTCCTTTTTCTTCTACTCTTTCATGTGCTGATGCTTTCGAAAATGACTACCCTCTAGATATTTCACAGTGGGCATCAGGTACAAAGGTGCGGTTCTCCCACACAAACGGACACACGGTGGATTCAAGATGTCATTTGCAGTGAACGTCTCTTTCGTACCTGAAAATCAAAGGTGCTGCCGATCAGGAGGCCAATTAGAGCTGTCCGATGATTGGTGCACAACATCTGAGGGAACCGCAGAAAAGTGTATCCCCCCTCTCTGTCTACAAAATGCATCATATTAGCATTGATTTGGGGTCAGGAGATAAATGACATACTGCGTTCCAACATCTAGTAAACTGCTCAGCCTGAACTCAGTAGAAAATTTACCTATTTTATGAGGTGGTGATTTAGTATGAGATCGTACACCAAGAATCATACAAAACATATGATTTTTAGGTCCACCTCTAGACCCAACTGTAAATTAAAACAAAGTTAAAGGGATAGTTCACCCAAAAAAATCCATTGATCCAAACGTGTATGAGTTTGTTTCTTCTGCTGAACACAAAATATGGCCCTTGGATGGCCTGAGAGTGAGTACATTTTTAGCTAATTTTCTTTTTTTTTTTTTTTTAACTATTCCTTTAAACTTTTTGTATATAATGTTGTTGTACATTTAAAAAAAACAGCAATTTATACAACTTTACTTCATTTAAGATAAAAAACAGTTGATAGTTGGTAGTTCTCTCCTCTAGTCTCGATATATTTGCTTGGCACACACCTTCAGGTCAATAGGCCTATTTACATTTCTTGCTTGATTGCCTCACACTGATTCTTAGAGAGACCCATGGAGCTGCATAAGCACTCTGTCAATGTTATCCCCACCTTGCATTCTTCATTTTCAGACTGCTAAATCTGTATTTGTATATTTGTAGTCCTCTATTGATAAATTTATATTTATATTACAGAGTTGCTTTCGCCATTCATTATAATGTTGGACTTGGATACTCCTGCAGGGAACAAAGTTAACTCCGAATATAAATTGTAGTATATACATCTCTGTTACAAATCAGTCTGGTTTGTTTTCTTGGCCATATATCACATACAGTACATTGATTAATTTAAGGTGAGACACTAGACGAAAAACCATTGCTTTTTCATGCACTGGTCAATTTTGAGATTTTAGGCTGTTTTTGTTTCAATAACATCAGACTAGTGGAAAGAAAACACAAAATACACATTTAAGTGTAATTTTATTAAACTTTATCTATTTGCGTCTGTAGATTTGCAATTAAAATACATATCTTTAGGCTATTGACTTGACTGCAGAAATTCCCACTTCAGCAGCACCTACATGCACCAAACGTAATAGTTTTATTCCTATATTCTGAATTCTATCTTTTTTGTTTTTCCCTAAAAGGTTTTATTCATATATCATTCGACTGGTTTATATTAAATTTTCCTTCTAAAACATGGTAAAACTCTTGGACATATTTTAAATAATCTATGCCGTGAACTTTACATATTTCACATACTTTTGAAAATCCAGCATTTAGTTGATGCTGATAAGCGCTCATCATCACTGTTGTAAACACGATGGCGTTCTTCTTCCATGAGGGAGTTTGGCAGAAAGAACGCGACACAAATATCTCCCGGAAATCCTTTATATTTCAACCAATTCAATGACGCCTTCGAAACTCCTGAAGTGTTTCTAAATTTGTGTGCGATATGCATCAGATGTTCAGCCAACGGCCTGTGTGCATCACATCTTAAGCCCTAAACACACTGTTCGATTGTCGGCTGTCCCAGACGAAATATTGGCATTGTGAAACAATCGTGGCGATTTCTGTGATCGTGGCTCCTAATCGGTGGTCCATGTCGTACAGTGAGAGAGGTTCAAATATGGCCATTGTCATGGTCTTGTGACCAACGATAGCCTATACGATACAACATGATCATCGCTCAGTGTGTTTGCTGCTACGATCCACGTTTACTGACCAACCGATAAAAATGCGACATGGCGCTAAAACATAAAACTACTTAGCTCAAGCTCTTATCCCTTCCTTTTTCAGCACACATAAAAAATACAACTGCCAAAGTATGATTTATCCTGCTCTTTTTGTTTACCACTAGTGCATGCTGGTGACTTTTTATTCTACTAACGTGCGTCGTATCGTACGAGTCAGTCGTACAGTCTACACACGTCGTAGCCAAGTTTATTAGTGTGAAATGCAGTGATCTTATAGGATTGCTAAAATCGTGCAGTGTGTTATGGGCTTGAGGCTGAGAATATGGTGACTGTAACTGTCCTGTTAAATCCTCCCCGTGTTTGCACATCACCGCCACGAGGACAGAGAGGGTATCGTGCCATTGTTTCTGCGGCACAGCAAGCACTTCCCATAGCCGTTCCTCCTGCGGTGCGTGTGAAACCCAAGAGCTGCAATCACGCTTGATTGAATCAGCTTTCGATAAGCAACATGCAGCGCGAGTGTAAAAGATGCGCTCCAATGTTATTTGATTCTTTAATAGATCAGCAAATCCCGTTATGCCACTTCTCCCGCTCATGTGGGAATTGCCATTCGCGACTGAACCCGTGAGTGATTTGATATTTGGAGACATTGAGACAGTTATCTGTGAATATCTGCTCCGATCATGCCAGGCTCACATAAAAATCAATCAGAGTTTCGGAGAGCTTCATCCATCAAACGCAGCATGATCAGACTTCTCATTAGCAGCATTATTGAACCATATTGCAATCCAAGTTTGTCAAATGTCAGCAACGTTTGAATAACGCACTATCAACGCCGCTTTGATCTACGATGTCAATAACACCGTATGATCTGCCATTGTTGAAAAAACCCCCAGAAAAGTTGGTTTCCCATGGCCAGTTATGAATTACATATTGGACTTGAACACTAAACAGAGTTTTTGTGAAACCTTGTGAACTGGAAGAGCCCATTGAATTAAAGATGAGTTTGTTTCTTCATGGGAACAGATTTGGAGAAATGTAGCATCACTTGCTCACCCATGGATCCTCTGCAGTGAATGGGTACCGTCAGAACATCACAATAATCCATATGTAATCCACACCACTCCAGTCCATCAATTAACATATTGTGAAGCAAAAAGCTGCATGTTTGAACAAACAAATCCATCATTAAAGCATTTTTAACTTTCATTCATTTAACTTAATTTCCAGCTAAAAGTCCATAATCCATAATAACGCTTCTTCCTGAGAAAAAGTCCATCCTCTGTTGTCATCTCACATTAAAATTCAACAACATGATTGGTTAGAACTGTTTTATCTTGTAATCAGTGTTTGATCTGTGCAGATTTCTCTCCTGATCCAGACAATATTACTTTTTCACTGGAGAAACCAATATTATGGATAGACCATTCATATTTTAGCTAGAAGCAAATATTTAAAGTTAAAATAATGGATTTGTTTTGTACAAACATGCAACTTTTCACTTCACAAGATGTTAACTGATGGACTGGAGTGGTTTGGAATACTTGTGGATTATTGTGATGTTTTTTATCAGCTGTTTGGAGTCTCATTCTGACGGAACCCATTCACTGCAGTGGATTCATCGGTGAGCAAGTGATGTAATGCTACATTTCTCTAAATTTGATGAAGAAACAAACTCATCTACATTCTGAATTGTCTGAGAGTGAGTAACGTTTTAGCTAATTTCCATATTTGGGCGAACTATTCCTTTAAGATTTTAAGTAAACTACAAGTGCACGTCTTTTCACAAGACTTGGTTGTTTAAATTGTCCAATTTGGACACATTTACACCATGTTTTTGGTTGCTAATAAACTTGCTGCAGAGCTTTTTTGGTTAAATTGGATGATGGCTGAATATAAGTCCAGTTTTAGCCACATATACCATGTGCTAACTTTTTTTTAGTTTAGTGGTTTCTCCACCACTGGGTTTTAACTAATGTGAGTTTTATAGAGACCATCAAAACAAGCCGGAGATGCATCAGAAGCCTGTGAGGCATGATGGAGACCCACAGAATCTCTTAACAGCCTTTTATGATGGAGTCATTGATCATCATGAAAAATGAGGGGAAAAAAGAGTGAGATTTCTAATTTTTTTCATGATGGATCAAGAGGTTATGGAGGCCGAGCAGACAGACGAAAATATGACTAAACTATTTGAAAATACCTCTGCGTATTTGCGAAGATTTATGGTTGTGTGCCGGTCGTAAATTCGAGGGGACAGTCAATCTGTGAACAAACAAATACGCTTTGGCTGAAGTGGCAGTTCGGAGTCCATTAACCCCATGGTACTGACATGTTTACAGTCAGGCATAACAAATCTTCGCCACAGAGAGAACATTTAGTATTAGAGATGTACGTTTCATCTTTATAAACGTTGGATGTACAGTTGCATTAATAATGAAGAAGGATCCTTGTCTGAATCTGTTGTTCCTATTAAAGTGTATTGATCTATGGAGGCCATGTTCTGCATTCTGGATTTCAATTTAAAACAAAGTCTTTCCTATGGTTTTAGGGAATGCACTGCATCCAGACACTGGAAAATCATTGATGGCGTGTCATTGAGAATAATAGGTAAATTTATCAGGTGCAATATCAGATAAAACCATTCTACAAGTATAAGTTAGGAGGGTAATTTCTACAATGGGTCTTAATACACTCTTTATTGGCATCTAAAGTTTCATGAAGGACCTTTAACATCTCTGGAATCTTTCCACTGCACAAAAGGTTCTTTATAGTGGAAATGGGTTCCTTAGATTATTAAAATGTTCTTAACACTTAGAAAAAATTATATTTTAAGAGCTGTTCACTGAGAGGTTTTTGGGGAACCAAAAATTAATCTTCTACGCTTTTAAAAGTAAAGGTTCCAAAAGAGGGTTTTCAAAATGATGCCACTGAAGAACATTTTTTGGTTCTACAAAGAAACTTTCAGTGATCAGTTCTTAAAATAACCCCCCCCCCCCTTTCATAAGTTCTCATGTAATTCATATTTTATTGTTTGACAAGCTACAATAGAGGTTTTCTGTTTTACCTGTTGCAAGTAAACCAATAGGGAGTCAATATCACCCCTGTCCTGTGATGCAGAAAGGAAGGCGAAGACAGGAGTTGCAGTTCAAACTCACTTCGTTTAATGAATAAACTTAAAACACGGGCAGAATGGTGAGGGAAGACACAGCATAAAATAACTGTGACCAGACAACCAAAGAATGAACAAACTGGGGCTTAAATAAATAGACAAACGAGGGTAATTAATGGGACACACCTGAACCAAATGACTAATCAAAACGAGAGGGAGAAACACACAACAAGACAGGAACACAAGTCTGACATTACCTCCCATTCCCGGAAGGCGTGTCCTCGCACCACTTAACTTCCGGGGGGGGTGGTGCTCTGGAGGCCTCTAGGGACAGGCTTGTAAAGGACGGGACCCATGGCGGAACAGGGAGTCCAGGAGGCCATGGCGGAGCAGGCATTCAAGGAGGCCATGGCGGAGCAGGCAGTTCAGGAAACCATGGCAGAACAGGTAGTTCAGGGGGCCATGGCAGGACGGCCTTTATGGCCTTGGCCTCAGCACTAGACTCCGGATCTGAGGACCTCCCTGGGCCAGACGTGGGAACAACAGCCCTCTCTGGGTTGGACATGGGAACAGGAGCATTCCCCGGGCTTGGCTCGGGATCTGAGGCCCTCCCTGGGCCAGACGTGGGAACAGGAGCCCTCTCTGGGCTATACTCAAGATCTGAGGACCTCCCTGAGCCAGACGTGGGAACAACAGCCCTCTCTAGGCTGGACGTGGGAACAGGAGCCCTCCCAGGGCTTGATGTGGGAACAGGAGACAAAGGATGGCTGGACGGGACCAGCGGAGACAAAGGAGAAGAAGGAGGGCTGGACGGGACCAGCGGAGATGAAGGAGAATCTGGAGACAAAGGAGGGCTGGATGGGACCAGTGGAGACAAAGAAGACGAAGGAGACGAAGGAGGGCTGGACGGGACCAGCAGAGATGAAGGAGCCTCAGGAGGCGAAGGAGAGCTGGACGGGACCAGCGGAGGCGAAGGAGACAAAGGAGGGTTGGATGGGACCAGCGGAGGTGAAGGAGACAAAGGAGGGTTGGATGGGACCAGCGGAGGTGAAGGAGACGAAGGAGGGTTGGATGCCTTGTTGAGCTCTGTGACGTGAGTGGGCTCTCTGTTGAGCTCTGTGACGTGAGTGGGCTCTCTGTTGAGCTCTGGAGAGCATATTGGAGTTAATTCTGGTGAGCATTCTGGAGAGCCCTCTCGACTCGGGTCAGGGACTAGAGCCATCTCACGACTCTGGTCAGGGGCTAGAGCCATCTCACGACTCTGGTCAGGGGCTAGAGCCAACAGTCTTTTCCTCCTCATTCTCCTTTTTTGGGCTGAGGTGAAGGAGATAGTTGCTGTCATCATAGGGGTTGGGAGAGAATCGGCTGGTGGGCTTAACAGTGGGGTGGCCGGTGGGATTGGATGCCCACCTACGGGTTCGGGGAAGCGTGGGTGGAATGGAGGGAGCGGGCTCTTTGGAACGGTATGTGGAGGGTGCTGGTAGATGGTGAGCTGAAGCGCCAACTTGCTTCCGAATGGGAACAGGATGACTATCCTCCACATCAACAAGGAACTCGGAGCCATTTAAATCGAGGACATAATTAATAAAGTCAGCTACGGGTCTATAACAATCGTCTGGAGACAGAAATCAAAACAAATTATCATCATCGAGTACCATTCAGAAGCAGGCATTAACCATTTGATCGCCCCAGCTCACCAGATGTACAACACTCAGGAACTCCTCCACATATCGCTCCAAAGGCCGTCCATCCTGCTGGATGTTCCAGATTAATTCCTCAGCCCAGATCATACTTTGGTGATGCAGGAAGGAAGGCGAAGACAGGAGGTGCAGTTCAAACTCACTTCGTTTAATGAACAAACTTAGAACATGGGCAGAATGGTGAGGGAAAACACAGCATAACATAACGGTGACCGGACAACCAAAGACTGAACAGACTGGGGCTTAAATACATAGACAACTGAGGGTAATTAACGGGACACACCTGAACCAAATGACTTATCAAAACGAGAGGGAGAAACATGGGTCACAGAAAGCACATGGGGAGAAAAAACAACAAAACAGGAACACAACCCCAACAAAAAAATCCAAATAAAATTGGTAACACTGACATGGATTATTGGGGTTTTTATTCATTTATTTGTATTTATTTATTTATTTTGTACTTGAATATAATACTTCTATTACAAGTGCTTTACTATAACCTAGATTTAAAAAAATATATAGAGAGAGAATTTGAATTTATTTTTTTTGGTAATCAACATTATACCACAAACGCTGAGTTTAACTTTCTTGATTTCTGAGTGTAAATATTTATTTAAGTGAATATTTATTTAATTAATTTTTTACATATAATATTCCAGTTTTTTTTACGTACGCATCCCAGGCAATGATTAGTTCTGTGAAACAAAGTAAAACCAATGTTACACCATGTCTACACTGGACGCGAGTAGCGCGGCGCGACAAAATACTATAGAACTCATTATAATCAGTGATGCTGTCTACACCATATATATACATATCTATGGTCCACACTGGATGCAGCGCATCATGACACGACAAATCCCTGACAGAAAACTGCTGCTGCATTCTATTCATGACGTATTGACACAAATTTCAAATGATTTTCAACGGTCGCTTTGTCGCATCCAGTGTACTAGACAGACTTTAGCTGTTGCGACGCAGACACTGTGTTACTCACCTATCGAGAAGAAACAAAGCAACCTTGGCGTCCGATCGCAGGCCTTCCGCTCCTTCAGTTCTCTCCAGCACTGGATAGCTGATCTGATATTTACACGGGTCCTAATTCTTGCCTTATTGCCTTAAGCCTTCTTTTGTTCCGCAGACGTGTTCCTCTTTTGTTTTTTATCCGCCATCTCTAACTGTCTGTCGCTCGGCTCGCTAATGTCCGTCATGTGCACTGAACGCTCTCTCCTCCACATCATGAGTAGACACGCCCCTTACTGCTGATTGGTTACAAGTTTGTTTTGCTAGTCGGCCAGAATCAGTTTTTTAAAGCGTTTTTGAAAAACCGCTTACCCCACCTTTAATGGCTCTGAAAGTAGCAAGTGTTTGAGGAAACCCATCTCTTTTTGGTGCAGACATTAAAGCAAGGACACCAATAAATCAACCAATAAAACTACCAGAGTCATAATGGCATGTTTTTGATGCACTCTGATTTTGAATGCAGAAGATCCAAGAAGTTCATTCCATTGTACAATAATATTTACACTATATATTTTTGTTATAATTTCTCATTATTTCATTTTGCATTTCCATCCATGTTTTCCACATCTGACTCTGCAAAATTTATTTCAAGGGGCAAGAAAATAAATTTCCAATCTTACCAAACATTTTGGGTAATTTATTTAATGAAAAAAAAAATTAAACATTGCAGTGCCAAGCAGCAATACTTGCATAAAGTGCATGCTTACATAAAGTGTTTCTCTGACCTAAGAAGTAGACTAAAAAAATCAAGGAATTTATGTGTTATTTAATAATTACATCTGGGTTTTAGCCTTCCAACCCAGACTGAAAACACACACACACACACACACACACACACACACACACACACACACACACACACACACACACAGGAATGAGACCAGCAGAGAAAGTATCGAACCATTGAATTTCTCCATCTCTTATTACACGCTTCAGAGCTGCAGCACAAACCCAGCAACCTCTTTTGAAATAAAGCCCTCGAAGAGGGATGGTCAATCAAGTGTGTGTCCGAGGAAAGACAAGGTGACTAATACTGAGATGGGAACGGAGTCCTTTTGTGTAAGACGGGACTTATCTCTGGAGCCGAGGGCTGAGATTGGCACTGCTATTGTCACTGGGGATTTAACTCAACTGGCTAAAACTGCTTTTATCCTAGTCCACTAAATTCTTCTTTAGGGTTAAGAACACAACGACTGAGAAGGTCTCAAATGCGGGTCTTATGTAAGATGAAAGTTCAAAACTCACAGAGTGAGAGCATGATCAATCAGCTACTATTACACAGCTCAGTCGTTTTGCTTCCAGACCCAACTTTCTGTTTTTTTATACCCAACAAGTGTTTGTTGCACACAAAAAGAAATGGGGAAGAACCAGTTGGAGCACTGCAATTTACAACGCTGTTACTGGCTTGTCTAAATGTATGCAAATTAAATATATAACTTGGGCCCATTGGGAATATATTACTCTTTCTTAATTCCCACATTTGCTGAAGCACCCATGTCATTTTATCTTGCTTCTACAAGCCTTTGATCTCTTTTGTGGGTTGTCATGGCTCATGTTTCATTGGATTTGTACCTGAACGCTCCATATCGCAAATGCAATGCTGATCAGGTGCGCTACTGAGCAAGTTTACTACATTAAAAAAGCCATACATATGGAGCTGGTATGTGTTTCAAACATCAAAATGTGTTTGTTTGCAAATGATGTACTATGGTAAAATTGTTTTGATGTCATAACATAGTATTATGCAAGGAAACGTACCAAAATAAGTCTTTATTCATCGTTAATCTGCCCCTGTAATCATAATTTTGGAGTAAAGGAACAAAAGTTGTTGGCGGATTACTGCCTCTAGTGTTCATTTCAGCTGAAAAGTGCAGAGAAATGTACGCAGAGCAATATATTTTAGGTTTTGCAGAAATGTAGGCTGAGTCGTGTATGGTCAAGGGTCTTTTTAGTATAATGCAAGTTCAGTCAGCCTTCTTTATAGAAGCCTTTTGAAACAGATCTGCAGTCCATTTTAAAGTCACAAAACATAATTTCAGTGAACCATTAACCAGATCTGAAAGTGGTTGAAGGCTACATGGGTTATATGTCATTTTCTAATAATAGTTAACCCATTAGCTGAGTAAAACCCCTTGTGGCAAGAACATCATCATTGGATAAAATACATACTTTAATTAACCCATTGACTCAATCTTTGCCTGTCTAAACGTGCAGTAACATTTACAATTGCTCATTGAATTTCCACAGGCAAAATCCAGTTATTTCAGCTGGAATCTACACTATTGGTAATTTTTGCTCATTGGAAAACATGACTTTTCCTGCATTTCTGTATTTGCGGAAGCATCCATGCCCTTTTAGCTTGTTTCTACAAGACTTTCAGTTCTTTAGTAGAGTGTCATAACTCGTATTTCATGGGATTCAATAGCTGGGTGCTCCTTATCGCAAATGCAACTGTACCGGGTGTGCCACTGAGCAAGTTTACTTCATTAAAAAAGCTGTACATATGGAGCTGTTATGTAATGCAAACATCAAAATGTGCTCGTTTTGAGGTCATAACATGGTATTGTGAATCTTGTGCACCTTTAGACCCGCAAGGATTCAATGGGTCAATTATGCATTCAATCCAGTGAAGATTTTCTTGCCATAAGGGGTTTTACTTAGTCCATGGTGCTTGCCAGAAGGTCACTCATGTGATCTACAGATGTCTATTTAAAAGAATGTTTTATGAAAACAAAACGAGCTCAAGACATTAGAAGGTACATCAGTTATTATCCAAAGCAGTTCGTAGTTCAGGAAGAAGGAGGCGGGAACCGGCGAACGTTCAAACAAAACTTTAATAAAATAAACACAAAATAGCACGACAGCCCCTCGTGGACGACTGTCGCACACAAACAGAACCAAAACACAGGCCTGGTCCTCTCTCGTCTTTCACAATCGTAGCTCCTCCTTTTATCCTCCCGGAGCTCCTCCGTGGGACTCGAGACCAGTGAGTGGTGCAGGTGTCGCTCATCATCAATTACTCCACCGGCCTCGCTCCATTCCCAAGGCTCTCGGCCCCGCCCCCACTCGTCACATACCCCCATCGCCCCTTGCAGGCCAGGGGGTACTCTCGAGACTGCATGCTACTCCCCCCCTCCTCCCTCCGGGGGAGCCGATCACGGCGGCCGCGACATACCTTGGGGTAAGGACAGATAGACAGAAAAGGAGACGGAAGGATGAGGAGAGACATATACGAGAGAGGGGAGAGAGGAAAAGAAAAAAAAAATTATCGGTCCGGTTCCCGGACACACTGCCGCTTGGTCCTCAACCGGCTGAGAGGCTCTCACTCGCGGTGCCATGCGATGGTACTGGACATCTTTGGTGGATGGCCCACCGCTCCTCCGCCTCATCCTGTTGAGGGCAGCCGGCAGTGAGTCCCCCATTCCCTGCTCCTCCCCAATTATGGCGGACGGCAGCAGGCTCCGGCATCCTGGTGAACGGGGTCAACTCCTCTGCTCCCTCTCGGATGGCAGCCACCCCTCCTTGA